AAAACATCTGGGGAAATACTAACCCCCATCACACACACAAACACTCAGACACACAAACTGATCCTCCAAATAGCTTGCCGGTTGCTGAGCTGGCAGACTTTTTTTTTTTTAATGTTTCTCATGACTATGAGGGGCAGCCATTTTGCCCCCTGGTGTATGAATCAGATTTATGATGTTCATTATGGTTGCTACTATTCCGCTCATGCAGGCAGGGCAGTAAAACACCAGTATGAAGCGCCGGACGAGCCTTATGCGGCGCGCACACATCTGCAGAACGCCTTTTTTTACAAGCTCCCGTGCCAGGCTTCCAGGACAGACTGTGATCTATCAACATTTATTCCCACCACAGCCAAGAAAAGAGTGGGAAAGAGAGTCTCTGTGTGAGAGACTGAGCGAGAGGAGAAAGAGAGAGTGAGAGGCCGAAAGGAAGATCGAGAGGACAAGCCAAAGCACTTTTTGTTTTGATTCTGGCTCATGAATTAGGGTTTTCACACACACACAGCCAGACTCCCTCCACTGAATCCGTCTAAACAGAACAAGATTATTATCTAGGCCTCCCAATGCTGTGTTCTTTTCCCCTGCCACTTATTGTACACATGTGAAAAAGCCAATAACTTGGCTAAAGCCCCCATTTTCCTTAAAGGAGACATTGTGAGACCATTATCTTAAATGGTTAATGAAAACATTATCATCATTTTGTCATCTAAAACTGTATGACTTTGTATATCACAAAGGAAGATGTTTCTTGACTGGTCTATCTGAACAATTTAACTTAAAGGGGTCCAAATTAACACTGGACCCAAGCGACTTTCAACTGTGTGCAAAAAACCCAACTTTTTTTAAAATAAATGTTTTTATATTTTTAGTTTTAGAATGACATGAGGGTGAGTAAATGATGACATAATTTTAAATTCAGGGTGAACTATCCCTTTTAGTAATTTTATAGCCAATGTGAGAACACAAGAAAAAGTGCTGGTGATAAAGAGAGTTAGCTAGACTCAATCTCAGCAGGAGAAGAGGAGGATGAGTTGAAGGAAGAAGAATAGTAAAGAAAGTAAATGAGAAGCAGATTATAGGCAGTTACTGGCAGGAAGCATCAGTTTCCTCCCTCAGTATAGTGGTGGACCCCCATTGTGAGGATGAAGGCCTGGAGTGTGTTTGTGTGTGTGTGTGTGGTTGTGTTTGTGTGTTTGCTTCCGTTTCGTTGCGGTTCACTGCCATCCCCTCCTCATTGCTTCGTGGCAGTTTGTGGCGCTATGATGGGGAGGGGGTGAAACTTGTCCCAAACATAAACCTTACCAGCTAAACATATGCAATTCATTGGAAAAACGTGCTTGTGGCAATATTTCCGCAAAATAATTTTACATTGCTTTTACTCTTTTTTTGTGTGTGTGATACTGAGTGAAATGTCTAGTGAGTGGCACTAAAAGCACTGTCAGTTTTATCTGGAATAGATGAGCGTGAATCTGGCAAGATTTTATTATATTGGTTGTTGTGCATATTGTGGCAGTTTAGAAATGAAATGTCAGGTGAGTGTCACTAAAAGTTTAATTCTCTATTGTGCTTGAAAATTATGTACCACCAACTCTAAACCCTATCCTAAACCTATCCAACAGTTAGGATTTAATAAAAGCAAAAGTGAGTAAAATGAATTGGTTGAATCAAGCATGCCATTTTAAGTCTTTGAGCTCTTTTCTCATGACTTGTTTCACGAGACTCGTACCTGAGCGCACCGTATCATAAGTGCAATGCTGTACCAGGTGAACTACTAAGAAAGTGTCAGAAAAGCCAGACATTTTGAGCTAATTATGTGATGTAAATGCCACAATGTATTAGTTTGCAAATCATGCACTGTGGTAAAAGTGTTTTGAGTTCATAACATAGTATTTTACAAGAACCATGTGAAATTTCAGTTGGAGCCTGCACTGAATTACATGTATAGGTTTGTGTGTTTTTTGGATTTTACAAAATGTAGGTAGAGACACTTTTTTTTCCCATAAAGCTAGGTTGTAAATATGAGATGCATTTGTATTCTTTTCAGAGTCAGTTTTGATCATTGATATTTCAAAGTAATGGTTAAATAACAACAATAATAATAATGATAATAATAATAGTTCTCAGGGCCCAATTAAAGGGGTGATGAACTGAGAAATCAAAATTTTGACATCTAAGAGGTTATCATATTATAAAAAAATCCTGTAAGTTTCAGAACTGAAAACGTCCTTGTTAGTCCAATAAAAGCTTTTATTGACACCAGGCTCAGCAAACGACTCGTTTTTCAAAGTGAGGAACTATGACGACAAAGAGGATAAAACCCCACCCCGGCAGAAGAAGATCAATGCTTACTTCAACACGGCCGGTTTAGCCCTGCCCACCAATTCGCGCATTACACACAAAACTAAATAACATAGATGCCTACCTCGTGATGACAAACCGGATTAAGCTACCGAGCAATACAGAATATTGTGCAGTGCCTGGTTGTGGAAGAAGACAGTCGCTGCATATGCATCCTCTGGATTCCAATAGGAATGCATGGATAAACTTTATTTTTAATGACGTTCCACTCCAGCTGATGAGGGTAAAACATCGTCTGTCTGTTCGCTTCATTTCACTGAGGATTGTTTTGTCAACAAGACTGAATTTGCAGACCGATTAAGAGTAAAGAACGGTGCTGTGCCGTCCATATTGGATCTGACAGGAATGGTGCAACACACGGACTCTGGGTCGAACAAGTATGGTCGAATCATTCCGGTTGCCATTTTACAACATTGGACGTTTTCAAAACAAACTGATTTCCCCCAAGTGCATCGACGGGTGAGTTGAAACTCATTATAATATGCAATACTGTTATCCACTCACAGCAGTGGGCGTTTACTTCCAAGTCTTCAGTGCGAGATGCCCATAAAAACCGAGCTTTTTTCAGGTAGGCTCAAAACTTGGGTACAAAATAGCCTATTACTTATTCATTTGGATGTTTTTGAATGCAAAAACAAAGCGAACGTCATAAGTTGACCTCAGACAACAACATACTAAAATTTAAAATGCCAGTTCATGACCCCTTTAACGATCTTTGTGGGTCCCACAGATTGTCCGGTGATGGATGTCCCTGCTAGAATGAAACTTCCCAAAAATAAATGTGATGCATGCATTACGATACATCCTCCTTTCAGAGTTCACTTGACTTTTATCATGTTACACGACACCCCAACCGTGCCCTCATATTCTCTCCTTTTGTCTTAAAATATCTTTGAGCAGCCCTGATGTGGTCAAGTTCAACACACTGTCACATCCATAGACTGTCTGCTTGCACTCTCACGCACTCTCTCTCTCTCTCTCTCTCTAAATTGACAAGGAGGTATATTAGAGCTTGGTGGTCATTCTCCTTTTGGCATTCAACAAATTTGACATCAGTCAGGTCACATGATCACTCAGCAGTACGTGACCCCTCCTTCCCATAGAGTGACCTGTGTTTAAGAGCACTCACCTGTGCCATGAGCTAAATTCTCGGGTTATCTAGCCAACTTTTATATACTCCACATCTCCCTAATCCACATTTAGGGCTGCTAAAATAAAATAAAAATAGGTGTTCATATCATTCTGATTTGTATATCTATGAAAGCTGTTGTCATCCTTTCAACTACAGACATTTTAAGTCTATTCTGAGCCAAAGGCTGGATGTGGGCTGATGCATGTCTAAATCACAACAGAAGAAATATCACGGAAAAGCTTGCATATCAAAAAGTGTTAAAGAAGAAACAAGTGATGCGTAGCATAATCTGACCTACATCCAGGACGCTACAAAACTATACCGTCATCAATAATTATACAATCTGTAAATTACTGGCATCTGTCCTTCTCCTTCTGGCAGTGAGTTACTCATCAGTGAACATGAGAATTGGCCAGAAATAAGACATAAAATAATATATTTACTAAGGTTTAAGCATAAAGCAAGTGATGGAAAAAATGTACAAATGGAAATTTATTCAGTATGAGAAGTTAAGATTTGTGGAAATGAATTTTGGAGAATATGAATTTAATTCACAAAGAGATATATGCAATCTTGAGAAAAATGCACATTTTTGAACACTGCATGAGACAAAAGTACATTTATCTGTAAAAATGTGTGTAATAAAATGCCTCACTTTCTTCTAACCACGTTCGTCTATTTAATGCTCCTTTTGTTTATTGTTCTCACTCACTTTCCTTTTGCACCCCAACAGCCTCTATCTGAAGCTTGTGTCACAAGTGGGATTGGATGCGATCCTTCTTGCCTTTATAAGGCATCCGGGAAGGCTCCCAGCTCCGTCAGCTCATTAAAAACACAACATGCCCACACGCACCCATAATAACGCAGATCATCATACTCCTTCAAACACAGTCTTTACCTCAGGCAAGCCACGAGACAAGATGAAATGAGAAAATCCCCCAACCAAGAGAAAAAAAGCCCAAAACAGTAATATGATCATAATGAGGCTGGTGGTTTATTTCCAAACAACTCTTTTTCATCAGCTGATTCCCCTTGAAGATCTTGACTCTTTCAAATCATTAATGAACCATCATGCCGAAAATATCCAAAAACACTCTGCAGCTATGAACCACGTCTTTCTTCCCTCTCATGTATCCATTATACCAATCTGTTTATTTCTGTCATGTGAACATACTGTTCAAAACTCACCAGAGATAAAGATGAATAATGCAGTTGTGTTTAATTATTTGCTGATAAAGTTAGTTACGCTTTTGTCTTACATGCACACAAATGCAAAAATGAACACAAATACACCCTCACATACCATCATCAGCCAAATGAGAGCATTAAATCTAGAGGGTCTGGCTCTGTCCCTTCTATAATCCTTTGTTTTGGACACTCAGTATCTCTCTTTCCAGTAGTGTTTTCTGCCAAGCACAACACTCATAATGGGATATACATACAGAAATCGCACACACATAGTTGGACAGAAATCGCACACACACTCTCCACACATCCGTAATCATGCCTATACCTCTTGTGTTGGTTGCCATGTCCGCCACCTTCTGAAAGGCATCCAGAAAGGCCACTGCTGCTAGCACGGTGGTTCTGAAAAGCACAAAACCAATGGGATAAATTGATGTCGTTGTCTTTTCTTAGCATTCAATAAAACCTTCTTCACATGACAGGTGCGGATGTGAGCCGGAGAATGAACTTACCGGAGTTGAGAGTGCAGCTTGGTGGCCTTGGCACTGAAGTCTTCCCAGACAGGATATGAACACTGCAAAATAACAAAGACACGAGGCGAGTTATGAGTGCGTCCTTTGTGTAAATTTTGTGTAATTTTTGTAAGAAGTTTTGAAAACAGTAATATTTTAGTGGAAAACTGTGATAATCTTTTTTTTTTTTTTACAAACAGAACAGACTTTATTTGAAATAAAGCACCTTTTGTAACTATAAATGTCTTTATTGTAATTGTTGATCAATTCAATGCACCCTTGTTAAATAAACGTATTAATTTCATTCTAAACTAAAATTTCATTGTGGCATCCATAATCCTAATAGCAAATGTGTGAAAAAAATCAGTATGTGTAAATAAATAAAGGTGAATATATTTAATGGAGTCTGTGTAGTAATTGCAGCAGGACGTTAGCTATAGATAAAACACTGTAGTCATGCGGGCCTTTATATGTGTGTGTATCTATATGGATATGATAATTTGCAGTTGTGTTTTGTCCTGGGGCAGGAACAGGAGTGTCGCCTGATGATAAGGGGACGAGCCATGTACGTCTCTGCCTAGTTGCCACGGAAACACAGCAGAGAAGTATTCTGTGTGAAGTCTGCTTTACTACTGGCCACAGGCTAAATGCAATATCACAGTAACCGAGCAGAAACTAACAAGCATGTCGACTAGTACACACAATCTTGTGACCGTCATCCTGAGCTGTTATGGTGTTTTTTCTCTCTTGAAATCACTTCAATAACGATCTTGCTTCAAAACAGTCAAAATAGTCTTCTAGGATAGTAATATACTATGAAACTCTCTACCACTATTTATATTAAGTCAATTTCGACAAATTCGAAAATTTTTCTTATATTAAATTTCTTTCTTGATCTGTCTTTCTTGAAATTAATTTTATTATAGCAAGACATTTTGCTACATCACAATAACATAACATGGTACATGGCATGTTTTTGGGCATGATATTACAACTTACAATTATAGAACTACTTAAAAAATATGCTACATAAGGTAACATTTAAATTAACTGTATTCACATTAAAGGTCCAGTTTGTAAGAATGACAAGTGGTCAAATAGGTACTGTAGTACAAATTCAAAATATCTGAGATTGTGAAACATCAGTTGCTTATATCGATGTTTCCCCCGCTTCGACGTTCACACGGGTTGCCAGTTTGAGGACACGCAACAGGAACAAGCGGAATTGAAACCCGAGGAAACTTACACACACTGCAAGTTGAGCAAGATTACACCGACCAAAACAAAAACAGACATTCAAACACGGAACGCACATTTCAAAGCAAAATAACTGGCTGTAGAATTGTTTTTCAGAAAAAATGTATTTTTATGTTTTAGTAGAGTGAAAAAGTTACATACAGCACATTTAAAAGTGTTACTGAATCGACCTAAATATGGTAGGTTACACCAACAAAACTAAATTTAGCGGAAAGACCAGGTTAGTTCTTCAAAGTAACAATTACAGATTACTTTTTACAGTGTTTTTACAGTGTGATATCAGAGTATCATGTAAACAGGAGTGTAGAATATAAGCATGTGAATCTTTTTTTTTAACTTGGTATGTTTTTATTTTCATGGAGGACATCAGCTCTCAAAATATTAGCAAAATGTATGAAATATCACCTTGTTACTTCAATGTAATGTACGTTTTTGAGATAATAAACCCAAGAATCTTCAACTATTATCAATAAGCATGATCATCAGCAAGTAATTAGTGAGCTCACTATCATTGTTGCATCTCCACTTCCAGCTCTTTTGAAAGTATCTCCATAAACCGCCACAGCTGTCTTTGTTAGCATTTTAAGACTGCTGAGTTCAGTTGGGCTTTGAGCAGGCCAGATTCAGACCGTTGTGTGTCAAGGGGTGAAATTAGCCACACTTCAGGGCATAGCTGGAGGTCAAGATTGTGCTCAACAACAGGAAGAAGACCCCTCCCCTTCCTCACACACCCACACATTACCCAAATAACCCCTGTGCCGTGTCTCACCTTGCCTGACACGTCAAAAAGAGAGAACAATTTTGAGACAAAGAGAAAAGAGACTGACACATGAGGACTTGAGCAAAATAGCCTAGAGCGCTGTTCAGAAGGGATTTGTTTCATTCATGACATCTGGCTTACTATTCTTAAGGACGTTTGTCATTTCATCTACTGAATCGGGCAGAATCGGGTTCTCTAATGTTAACAAGGATTTACAAAATCTCTCTTTATTAATTTAATTAACTTTTTAAAGTGCCCCTATTATGCTTTTTCAAACATTACCTTTCATGTAGTGTGTTGTACACACTTTGTGAATGTAAAAGGTGTGCAAAGTTGCAAAATCCACAATAAATGGAGTTCTTGTCTCTCAAAAGAAAGTAGCGTATCTGAATTCCGTATCTCAACTGCCTGAAACGAGTCATCAGTAATTCCAGTCTTCCTTCCTGTAAGAACCATGTCTACTTTGACCTGCTTTTAAAGGGGGCTTTGGCATCGGGTAGTTCTAGGAACTAAGTTCTAGGAATTAGCCACCAGGGTGGTTCCCCAAGAACTAATGGTTCCCTAAGGAACATTTTCCTGGTTGCATTCGCACCGCCAGTTGGAACAACATAATCCGCGCTCTTTGTTGTGGCTTTTATTTTGATGGAGCTGAGAAAGCCAGCCTGAGCAGTGAGTGCATCACGCTCGCATTCTCCGTGTTCATTAGTTTACGATCTGTCTAATAGTCCTGTCTAATACGTTATTAGATAGAACTGTTATATATAGAAAGTAGGTAGAAGAAGGTATTAGTGTGGTTGACAACCAGTTTCGCTAGCTGAGCAGAAATATATAGTCATGTTTTGTTTGGTCCTCTCAAAGTTGAGTTGGATTTCCTCCTTAGCGTAAAGGTTAGGGGGCCCATCTATCACTGTTTTCCATATTCGTAGAGTTAGTTTGTGTAGTATATAAATATAAGCTATAATCTGTGTGTGTACACAGCTTTTTTTTAAATGATGGGTGCTGGTGTTTGGCCATTCAGCGTACACAAACATCACTGGTAGTTTCTTTTGTGCTGGTTTAGACCGTACTCTGAAGTAGGAGCTAAATTAGTTCCTCCAAAAGGAGTTCCTAAAACTAAAATAATTCCTAGTTCCTGCGGCGCAAACACGCCAAAATCCGGGAACTTCTGCCAATAGTTCTAGGAATTATGAAAAGATTCCTCCAGTGCGAAAGCCCCTAAACAATGTAGTTGTAGCCTGAAAGAGTTTGGCTCATGTTGTCAACATGTCAAGAAGATACTGTTTTCTGTGCTGGGACAGCCCGTTCTCATCCTTTAACGTCATATAGAACGCTATATGCAAAAACGGCGCTATACTACGCACATGGCACCCTTTATCGTTAACATAACGCGCGAACCCAAGGAGTTATAAATCCTTTAGCGTGAATATGACACGCACACCCTACCCCACAGCGTAGTATAGTATAGCGTATTATAGCGCCGTTTTATATGTTCTATCTATTGTTCTATATGACGTTAAAGGATGAGAATGCGTTGGCTGGGAAAGAAAATCCACTTTGCATGCACTAAGTATGAGGTGGTTACTTGATATGGTAAAACATGTGATACTGTTCATATCACTGTGTATACAAGATATGGACATTTTGGTTCCGTCGTGTACTGCAAGCGGTAGACTTTCTTGAAGCTCGTGAGAGCAACTGGGGTTTGGTGTCTAGCTCATGGATACCTCGACACTTGGTTAGGTGGAAACGGGGATTGAACCACCAAACTTCTGATTTGTAGACATTCTACACAAAACACAGAGCCACTGCCGGTGCTTCGAGCAGGGTGGAGAAATTCTGAGATTGCATAGGGAGGAAGGAGATTTCCACCTCCTTATCAAGGAGTTGTGGGATTATGCTGAGCGATTCAAAGTTTACTTCAGGATGTCAGTGGCTCAGTTTGATGCTTTGCTAGCGATACTGGAGCTACATATTAAATACCCTGGTCAGAGCCTGACTCCACCCACTGGCAATATTTGAAAAATGCTGGAAAAGTGGGCAGGGCCCAGCAGAGGGGGGCGTACACCTGAGACGCATCTCTTTGTATGGAACTTGCCTACGTCACCAACAACCGCTGTGTCACGCACCACCTCAAACATCCAATAGGAAAATTCAACTGCAGTAGCCACCGTTCAACCTTAAGAGGGCAGCACTAAGACGTTTTTACACCATATATTGTAGAAATAGAACACTTTATAAACAAATGTCAAAAAAGTTACTCGAATCAATGACTGGTATTAATAAAGATCCATTCTTACAGATCATTAACTAAAAAAAGTTGGTTAAGTGTTTAGTTACTCTTTAAAAAGAAGACCACCAATTTCCGTGAACCAATTGACCCTGAACAGTTATGGATTTTGGCGTTCACTTGTACGGTGGCTCAGAATTGACAAAACACCTTTGGAACACGGATGCGAAAAATGCAGAAAATTGAATCCGATCCAAATAATTTTAATGACGGACGAAAGTTTTGGAGGCAGTGTGTAAACGTGACTGACACAACGTGAGGTCGTATTCATTTTTTGACGTGAAAACTTCAGACGAGAATTTCGGACTCAGTGTGCAAGATTTGTGCCTTTAGATTTGTGTTTGTTTTAGAAGGGGATTAAAATAAAATGTCAAATCTATCAAATGTGAAAGAAAGAAAGAAAGAAAGAAAGAAAGAAAGAAAGAAAGAAAGAAAGAAAGAAAGAAAGAAAGAAAGAAAGAAAGAAAGAAAGAAAGAAAGAAAGAAAGAACAGTACAGCGCATAGGACAGTGGGTGAGCGCAGAAGGGCCCAGTCACTGGTGACAGTACAAAAGCGGCTGGTACGCTGACAAAGATTGTGAGCGTCTCTCCTTTGATCCAGCATCTCGTCCTGCTTGTTTGATGTCTGTTAATTTGCTCTGAAATCTGAACACGTTACTCCAGAGGGGACCCCTGCACTGTTTGAAGTGCTCTAATCTGCAGCACGGGACAGAGGTTCATCATCTTCAGGGGCTTGTGGGAGAGTGATAAGGCATGAG